AGGGGTGCAGCCCTCCTCAGACGGGGAGATCAGCCACTAGATAAAGAGTAAACAGGTGGCGCACACACCTAGTGCATTATCCAAGGTTTATTCAAAGGTATAAAAAACAAAAACACACTCACAGATGAAGCATGATGAAGCATGACAATGCTTTGAACAACATTGCTGCTGATACCTCTATCAGGAGGTATAGGCAGCAACATTGTTCAAAACATCAGTCCTCCTTATCCACTACACATCTGTACCAGACTAAGAGGCTGGTCAGCAGCTCTGAGGAAAGGGACTCTTCCTCGAAATGTGTCAGCCATTTGACCGCACTGACAGTTGGAACACCTCGCTTGCCGTTGTGGCCATCTTCTTAATGCAAAAGCTTGTTATACATGCTTCATCTGTGAGTATGTTTTTGTCTTTTATACCTTTGAATAAACCTTGGATAATGTACTAGGTGTGTGTGCCACCTGTTTATTCTTTATTTAATAAAAAGGGAAGGGTTGTAGCTCTAACTTCCTTCCCCAGAGTGACAATGCTACTCCCCTATAGATGCATTACAGTGAGTGTTGTCAGCCTAGGACAAGAAGTGTGTTACTGGTAGTTCCTCCAGATGATGCGAAGGTGAAAACAGAAAACGAGTACAGCCATCACATCTGGGGCTGGAAAGAGATGCAATACATTATATTTTGTTCTTGGGTTTAGGTACACTTTTAGGACATATTAGATGCCCTTACTGTAAGTTAAATTCACTTCCCAGCAACTGTATAAATATTATAACAGCAACTATACACTTTTGTGTCAAATCCCATTATTTGTAATGTGTTGTTTTGTATAGTAGTCATGGAGGAAGTGAGGCATCAGCTTGAATTATATTCATTATTTTGCTTCTATCCAACCAGTGCAAATCAGTGAACAGATAAAAGCAAATTTCTAATCATTCTCAATGTCCGGAAATAAAATTTCCAGAGTTCGCCCCTACTTAACTAATGACACCCACAAAACAATTTATTCACTCCCTTGTTATTTCCCACCTTGCCTACTGCAATTCCCTTTTTGCTGACCTCTACACAGGCTATCCATCCTTCATTCTATCATTAATGCTGCTGCTACACTTTTATACCTAACTAACTGATCCGTGACTGCTGCCCCTTTCTGCCAATCCATTCACTGGATTCCACTAGCCAAGCATATAAAATTCAAATCACTAACCCCAACATACAAAGCCATCCACAACATTGCCCCATACACATCACTAACCCAATCTTGAGATAACGCCCAAACCGTCCTCTCAGCTGCTCCCAAGACCTCCTTCTCTCTAGCTCCCTCATCACCTACTCCCATGCTCTCCTTCGGGACTTCTCCAGAACCTTTACTATCCTCTGAGACTACCTTCCACTGTATGTTCTCCAGATCCCATCCTGTTTGTCTTTACTTAACCACTTGCCAAGAGAGCACTTATACCCCCTTCCTGCCCAGGCCAATTTTCAGCTTTCAGCGCTGTTGCACCTTGAATGACAATTACATGGTCATGCAACACTGTACCCATATGGAATTTTTAACATTTTTTTTAGACACATAGTGCTTTCTTTTGGTGGTATTTAATCACCTGTGGGTTTTTTATTTCTTGATAAACAAACCAAAAAACAACTGAAAATTTAAACAAAAAAAGTTTTTTCTTAGTTTCTGTTATAAAATTTTCTAAATAAGTAATTTTTCTCCTTCACTGATGTGCGCTAATGAGGCTGCGGTGATGGGCACTGATAGGCTGCACTGATAGGCGGCACTGATGAGGCACTGGTAGGTGGCACTATTGGGCATTCACAGGCATCACTGATGGGCACTGAAAGGCAGCACTCAGATATGGCACTGATAGGTGGCACTGACAGGCTGCACTGGCTGGCACTGTTAGGTGGCACTGATAGGCAGCACTGATTGGCACTGATAGGTGGCACTGGCTGGCACTGATAGGTGGCACTGATTGGCAGCACTGATAGGTGGCATGGACTGGCATTGATAGGTGGTACTGACTGGCACTGATAGGTGACACTGAAAGGCAGCTCAGATGGGCACTGATATGTGGCATTGATGTGCACTGGTAGACACGGATATGTGACATTGATGTGGCACTGATGGGCACTGGCAGGTGGAATTGATGAACACTGACAGGTGGCACTGATGGGGCTACACTGATCATCAGGGCACACTGATCATCAGTGTACATGTACCCTCTGAGTAATGCCAATTACCGGCTCTCCTCTCCCCACGAGCTGTCAGCGTGACAGCTCATGAGGAGAGAACTGCCGATAACCGATATTTCCTTATTTACATGCAATCAGCTGTGATTGGACACAGCTGATCACATTACAGAGCCAACGTTTTCAGCTCTTTCCATTGACCGGTGATCTGCTATGTCCCAGGGACACAGCGCACCATGGATCGCCGCACTGCACGCGCTGGTGCCTGCGTGTGCAGTTAGAGTGGGAGGACGTCATATGACGTCCTCCCAGAACGAGGGAGCTGTCTTGTGCCCGTCATTTTCTTATATGGCGGGCGGGAGGCGGTTAAAAATTCATTTATTTAGGGAAGCCTACCCCACCTCCATCTAAAAAACTGTACTTTGGCCACCTCCATCAGATCATCTCCTGCAGCTATTACCTTTTGTAGCAACTTCCCCTCCCTTTAGATTGTAAGCTCCATGAGCAGGGCCCTCATATTACTTCTGTATTGAGATATATTGTAATTGTACTGTTCCCTTTTATATTGTAAAGCTCTGCACAAACTGTTGGTGCTATATAAATCCCGTATAAAAAATAATAATCATACATAATATGTAAAACTGTACACACCTGCAGATTACTAATAAACATAATGCTGTCAAAGAAAATGGTAATAGAGGTACTTTCAGTGCACCTGCAGTTCATTGTAAGAGCAGGTCTCACATATGTGATTTGGATATGTTTTGAATCACATCCATTTCACATGACATGTCAAAGAACAATGCTTTCTATTCTGCCTGTTCGCAAATGTCCAGTGTAGCCGGAGTGTGGATTCAGTGTGGATTGAAAAAAGAGTCCTATCAGTTTTCTGAGCAGTGCAATCCAACTAAGGTGGCTCAGGCTCATTGACTTTTACTGTATGGGAATGCTACTGAATTGTCATTCAGTTGTGAACAGGATAAAATCCTGACCTGATACTGATGTAAACCTGACCTCATCCTGTTCTAAACCTAACCTGAAACACTAAACAACTACTTTGTCAATTAGTTGTGAAAACAGAGCTTCAATTCTCAATGTACATGTGTGAATCCCCACTAAGGCTGGCCATACACTATACACTTTTCTTGAGATTTTAGCTTTAGATTTACCAAAAACCATATAATATGAGGTCAAACCCAAACAACACTTTCAGTTGTATCCAGTTAGGCAGGCCCTTGAACTACACAGTTGAAGGTAAATCTAAAGGAAATTGGGCAGAAATTTGACAGAAAATTGTATGGTGCATGGCCAGCCTAAGCGTCATGACTAAAATCAGACCATGATGTGGATACAATTAAAGCAAAGTAAAACTAAAGGCAAAACTTCTTTTTCCATTTTGGATAGAGTAAGGGAGGGTTATTTGCCATCTGTGTCCCATTGAGGACATTTCCATAGAGATGTCCTGCCCCATAGTCAAAACAGGAAGTCAGAGTAAATCCCTTCAAAGTGAGGGAATCCATAGTTTCCAGAACTAGTGTCCCTATTGGAAGATTTCCCCTCTATTACTGCTCGGGGGCCAGCCCCAAATTTTTGATTTTCTTTCACTTTCAAATTTGATGGTAATGGTAATAAAGATGACAAATACAGAGGGTAAATCTCCCGGGGGGACAGATAGCAATACCAGGTGTCCTAATCCTTCTCTACTTTATCAAAAACTATTAAAAAAAAAGTTTTGCCTTTAGTTATACTTTAATTGGCCATAAAACCTCTTCTGTGTCTATCTCTTTTAGGTTAAAATTTTCTGATCTCATAACTAAGCCTTTCCAACTGCTTATTAATGTGCAGCAAGACTGCTTCAGTGGCCAGTAATGGCATTCTCAGTGGGCTGGAGGGTGGGCAAGGCTATGCTATGAAGTCCGGGTAAGCCAAGACCCATTAAAGTAGAACTATAGGCAAAACATTTTTTTCATTTTGGATAGAGTAAGGGAGTGCCATTACTCCTGTCAGTTTATTTTGCGCCATTTGTGTCCCATTGGGGAGTTTTCCCTTCATCTCCTATCCCATAGCCAAAACAGGAAGTCAGATGAAATCTCTGCAAATTAAAAGAATCCCTTGGGGACTCTCAGGTCACCAGAATTAGTGTCCCCACTGGAAGATTTCCCCTCCATTGCTTTTCTTGGGACAACTGTGGGATTTTATTTTACTTTCACTTTCAATGATAATGTTAAACAGGACAAATAGAGAGAATGAATTTCCCTAATAGGGGCACAGACAGCAATAAAAACTGACAGGTGTTATAATTCATCTCCGCTCTATTCAAAAATAAAAACAAGTTTTGCCTTTGGTTGTCCTTTAACAAAATTAAACAAAATCATTGAAGGGCATAAAGTGGCAAGACCTTTACTTATGAATTTCTATATGCTTTAAAACTGTACAAACTCCATGATTTCAAAAAGAAAATCTCCTATCCTCTTCATTTACAGCTTTAAAATACAGAATAGAAAAGAAAAGTGCAAAGTTTATTTTTAACCAAACGTACCATGGATAATAACACAGCTAAACACATAATATTAAAGAAGCACAAGAAATAATAATGATAATGTGCAATGTGGGATATTGAAAAGCAATCAATTAAAACTTAATTTACTGTAGCCAGTAAAATAACTGAATTGATTGCCGTGAATTTTTACAATTTTCATAGCCTTGCTGATTTATCCCATTAGAGGTCATAAAAATGAGCATACCTATGTATCGTATTCTGAATCCTTTCTTGTTGGTGCCATGATCTGCCGACCACCGTAAGAAAACTTCATGCCCGCTGCTGGTTATGTTAAATGTAGACGAATAATCCCCACTTAAAGAAATCAACAGTGGATAGTGGCTGTTTGGTCCTGTTCCAAATGAAATTTTGCAGATTAACGCAGGAGAAACTTTCAAACCCAAGACAAATGCATTATATGAAATGTCATTAGCAGAACAAAGGCTTCAAATTAGACTCAACCACATAATGTTCCATTACCGTCGAAAGCTTCCAGCACGTCAAACTCCTTTTCAGTATGGAAAAATTCAAAGATTAAGGTTATATTGTAACCCTTCTCCACGCTAATGCTCCATGCACACATCTGAAGATTGGGATAGCTGTCAGGATAGCCAGGACTTAGGATGATACCTGTCGAGTCAACGCGTATTTCATTGGCCGGGCATAGCACTGGAAAAGACAAAGAAGATGCAAGCTTCATAAAGAAAAGGGTTTATCTCGCACTGCAGCTGTTCTATTAAAAATTTAATTAATGCAAAATTCTGTATATGTGATCCGTTCGCAGAGGAAGCACCATTTCAAATGATCATTGCATAGGCATGTAGGAAAATTAACATAAAGAAATATTTTACTCATAAAGAAGAACCTGAAATATCATATTACATTTATATATGCCCCTTAATTTATACATTCAAGTGAAATAAAAAAAATCATGTTAAAGAGACCCTGTTGCCAGTCAATTTGTTTTAACAAAAATCTTTCTACTTAATTATATATGCATTTATTGTATATTATGCATGTCATTTACCTGTAAAATCCTATCTTGGGCAGACTTCCAAAAGCCCTGTCACCGGGGCTCCACCGTCTTGGATGTGATGTATGCAAAGGTAGAAGACTCAGCTGTCACTCAAGTAACAGAGTGTTCTTAAGCTGTCTATAAATGGTTAAATTTTTTCATTCAGCCCGTGGGTTCAGTGAAAAAAAACCTGAACTGATTCCCATGTCTACACATTCAAGATGGATGGAGGAATACTCCACATTTTGCTATTGTATTCAGAAAGTGGGAAGACACCCTCACTGTCAGAAAACAAAGATCAGTGCTGCAGTTGCTTTTCGAGTGGCTTTTATCCAAGGTGGTTGAACAGTAGTCAATCGATAGATCCACTTCTGTTCAACTGCAGTGGCCACATATGGATCAAACTTTTGCAGGTACCTGCTAAACTGGCTGAATTTTTGTCTATCTATGGCCACATCAGACCTTATTCTGACTAACCTAGGTTATTTGAATTTTCTAACAAGCTCAAAAGCACATACCAAGTGAATAAAAAAATATTTATGGATAGAAAAGACTGCAAGTAAGCATTTTAAAAAATATGATTTTTCTGTGCTTTCATCTAATGTCTGTTTAAATATGGTAACAAAGTCTCTTTACTAAACAATCATATTGGTCCTTGCTCCAGCACAATGTATAAATAATATTCATGTCAGAGTCATACATTCATGCCCACATGCTCTCTAATCAGTCCAAGTGGTTGCAAGTTCAAGGACTACAAAAAATGAACACTATAGAGGGAGATTTACTAAGACTGGAGGAGCACACAGAATCTGGTGCAGCTGTGCCAATCAACCAATCACTTTCTAACTTCAGCTTGTTCAATTAAGCTTTGACAATGAAACCTGGAATTACTGATTACTATGCACAGCTGCACCAGATTCTGTGTGTTCCAGTTTTAGTACCCCCCCCCCCCCCATATTTTTTCATATACTGGTTTTGTTAAAGATATTTTTATCAATATTCATATATGAATATTTTAAATGATCTAAAGAACCTAAAGTTCCCTCCTGCCTATCTTGCCTAACCTATATAAAAAAAAGATCCCTTACACTTACCTATTTTTAATCTGCTGTGGTCTGGTACTTTAAGAATAGATATACTGTAGTTAGGCCTTTTTTCCACTTTAAAATGTTAAATTCATGACATTTTAATGTGGAGTGATATATAAAAATAAAATCTTCTTCATTAATCCAATCAAAGAGGTGATTACACTGTCACTCACTTCTTTTGCAGAATAAAGCAGCTATCAAGTAATAATTTGCCCAGCAAAGTTACATAAATGTCATCTTGTGTAACTTTTGGTAACTAATACAATAGGTAATTATTTCAAGTATCTATTGATAATAATGTGCAGCAGCTAGTTGATATTGTGTTCTAAAAAGTAAGAAATGAACCACATTAAATTGTATGAATTGCACCATATCTTTTAGTAACTTATTCATTTTAGCTTTAGTGTTTTTTAACATTAAAACCTATATTGATAAATGTGGACACCCCTCCAAATGACTGAGTTTATGTGTTTCCAGTGAAGGATGCCGTTAATGATGCAACATACAAAGACAATTTAGTCAACTGTACACTTCCAACCATGTGGTAACAATGCGACTGTGGCCTGTGCAGAAAACCAGCTTGTTAAAGACATGGTTTGACCAGTTTGGTGTGGAGGAACTTGACTTGTCTTACATATTCTCAACCTAACACCTACTGAACACCTTTGGGATGAACTGGAGCACCAATTTCAGGCCAGATCTTCTTGTCCAACATCAGTACCTGACCTTACAAATGCTCTTTTGGCTGAAGGGGAAAAATTCCCACAGACACACTCAGAACTCTTGTTGAAAACAACCCCTTCCAAAAAAAGTTACAAGATAGTCATGGCGGTGGTGGTGGTGGGGAGGGGGCACATTAATTCCCATGGTTTTGGAATAGGATGTACAAAAATCTTGCACAGTAACTTCAATCAGAGGCTATAACTAGTGGGTTTTAAGATTTTATTGATAGCATACAATTATAATATTTTCACAATCACAACTGCATATTGACTTAGAATCTAGCTCTGCTAATATGCTCCTATGAGACTACCATGGGCTCTAACATACTCACCTTTTCCTCCCTAGGATCTCTACACAAAAGACCAACTTTTTCTGTAACCAAAGATATCAGTGCCACAATCTGCTGATTGGTATGAGTTTTTATTGGCTTTTCAATGTCACTAAGCTCAGGTGTAATAATTGATATATGTGACAGGTACCTTTTTATAGCTTCAGATATTTGACATGAAATTGATGTAATCTGTTTAATGCTTCAACATTATCAGTCATGGGAGTCTAAAGGAAGGCTGGATAGATGTCCTTCAATGGTATGAGCTGTGCATAGCAAATTCTCTCTCTCTCTTATATCCCTTTTCCTTCACAAACTTAGCTTGAGTACCTGAAGTTCAGATAAGCTCTTGAAAATGTTTGAAATATAGCTTGAATCTTAAATCCGGTTATATATGTATACCAATCTGTATTTGTTTTTGTTTTTTTAGGTATTGGTAATATGTCTAAGATTGCTTTAATACTTTTATTATCAATTGCAGTCTTATTAGCCTAAAGTAGAAGTAAACCCTAAAGCCAGCCATAGATGGTTTGAATCCCTGTTGGTTCAGCAGACCGGCCGAGATTTGAACCATCTATAGGGGCTGATTGTTGTACCCAATTTGTCTTTTGTACGACTTGACTACAACCAGCCTGTCAGATTTTTCATGTGGTTATTGCCAGCAGCTATGGCCACTAGCAATAATCACTGTGTTCTTCCAATGGGTATAGCTACCCCCCACTCGCACCTGCTCCTTATTGCCGGGAGAACAAAATAGCTCCACAGGAAGGATATCAACACTAACTGTGTTCATAGGGGAATCGAGCATCTATGGAAGGCTTAAGGGCTCTTGCGTATGGGAGCCTGAGCCCATTCAATGTAAATTTCAGTGATTTTTACCACAGCTGGAAAGCCTAGGTGCTGCATACAGCCACTCATAGATATACTACCGATATACCACCGTACTCTGGGTATATGCAGGGTATATCCTAAACATGAGTATAGCATACAATATTTATGTCTATGTAAGGCTGTACACAGCACCTGGGCTTTCCATGGTGGGGGAATAACAGAATTTGTGTTAAATGGGCATCCATTTGGAAGAATGACATTTAATGTAATTTGTATATCATTAACAGTTTTTTTAAGTTGTTTTCCTTTTTTCTTTCACTTTTTTTGCATCTCAGTGTTGATGATCCCTGACAGCAACTTCTTATCTACGTGCACTTCAGCATGTCATTATTCATAGCGGATTTTCTGATAATGGCAACAGTGGACCATGACTGTATACCGTTAGTATAGCCACCTGTAGACTTCTTAGGAAGCCTATACAACAGGGTATCAACACAGGATAACAACTGGGAGACAGGAGTGTTGTTGCCCAGTAACAGCAAGGGCCCAAACAATGGCAATATCATCAGATATTATTTTAATGACTGATTCATATTTTAAATGATTGAAAATGACTTTTGAAATATATTAACATGTTAAAGCATGACCGAGATTTTACTGTTTGGTTTTTCATATATTTTAAAGGTTTGCTTCATCTAGATTGATATGTCGGCTTTTAATAGATTTCAGTGAGTTGGAATCACTCAGCCAACTATATTATTTGTAAGAGAAACTTATTTTTACCAGAGTTCCCATCTTTGCTCACTGCCCTGGGCTATACACAAAGATATCAATGCTGCAATAGAAGAAATACCCTGCCAATTGGTTTACCATACTCTAGGACACCTTATTAAATAAAAGCATCCAAAGTGATTTAAAAAAAACAGCATTTATTAAAGGCTAAAAATATCAGCTGGTTAGATCCCACAGAACTAAAAAAAAAAAAAGAATAAAGCACCATGGTACATTTCCTTGGCCATGCCCAGTGCTGTAGGCTCAGTTGTATTTGTATATGTGCGTCAATTTGGAGACTCTCAAAACTAAGAGTTAAGACCTTGGTGTGGATACTGTGACTTACACATATATTTGCAAATCTGTGCAACTAAACCCTTTGTCTTTAACTTGAATTGTTTGAGTTATTATATGGGGCCAGTTTGGGTTTTTGCAGACTAGCTGGTATGTGTGCTGGAAAATTTTTGTTTGTGATGTAATTTAAAAAGAAAAACAGCATCTCTTCATGGCTAAAAAAAATATCAGTTGACTAGATCCCAAAGAACTAAAAAAAAAGTACCAAGGCACATTTCCTGGCCATGCCGATTCTGTAGGCCCATTTTATTTTCATTGCTAGAACCTTGCTAGCGCTGAGAGCTAAACCTAACTCCTGCAATAAAAACATTTTAAAAGTTTCAGTTTGACAGTAGAGGAATGTAAAAGTATTTTTTTTTTGCCAAATATAAATGTTTTCACCACCATGCTCCCAGCATGTTTTATTTTCTATGTACAATGCATGGCGCATGTGTAATGCAGTGTACATCCCAAATTATTTTTGGTAACAAAAATAGATCTGGGATCCAGGGATGATGTAATGTATGTGTGCATGTAAAGGAGTTATATTATCCATGTGCACCCAATGGCGAAAAGGAAC